TATTCTTAAATTATTTATTGTCGAATTAAATTTGATATGATAAAAGTATTCAACTACAAAAGTAAATAATTTTACTTTATAATTTATTAATTTTTTAACTCTATTTCTGTGTGCTACTACCAGTCTATAATATGCCAAATTTTTTAGTAATATTTTGCTATATAAATCATAAATTTAAAAAAAAAATGATTTTTAGTTTCACCTGAAGTTAACGATGGAGTTTTACAATTATAATTATATTTTTGATAATATGCTCAATTGAGTAAATCTTTTTAACTACTTTGGTTTGATTGGTTCATTTAATTAAAGTAAATTATTAAAATTAATTAAGTTCTGAATATTTCAATTGCAGAATTTTTTTAAACACCAAAAGTTATTAGGATATGATTACTATTCTTTCTATTTCAGTTATCTATTACGATAAAAATGTAAAAAAATCGAATTTTTCTGACAAATGTACTGTAATTAGTAATTATAAAATTTCCAGATTGCATATTAATCTTAAAAATTTCATTTTTTTCAATTTAATAATGTCAATTTCAAACTTGCAAGTTGAACTATAAGTTATGGTAACAAATTCATTTTTTAGCTTCGATGCGAAGCTGAGAAGGTATTTTTCATTAAAACTTTCACTTTAAAAGACAATAAAAAATAGGTTCAAAATGATTACCTTTAACATATTAAAAATCAAAATCAGTATTAATTTAATACAATTTTTTTTGTTCTTAATTATTTTTTTTTATATGTAAATACTTATTTTTTAATAATAAGTAATAATATTAAAACTTAGAAGTAATAGAAAAAGTTTAATTGCACATTTGAAAACATCACGAAAAGTTTATTTAGAAAAGTATATTTTTTTTCTGATGAAAGTTCCTTTTGTTTAGTGTATTTATTCATAAGTAACAAAATTTTTTTATTAAAAAGTATTGCATAAATTCCTTTAAATTTGTATACGCATTAAAAGTATATGAATATACAACTCCTTTTTATTTTTATAATATCTCCGTAAAAATTACAATATTATATTATTGAATACCACTTTCATACTCAATTTAATTACTGTAATTATTATGTATTCATATATTATAGTTATAAATCGGGGTAAAATTAAGGGAATAAGTGTTATTGTTGTTTTTGAAATAATCTACCAATTTCATTTTTTTCTATTTAATAATATTTATTTCAAACTTGCAAGTTGAGTTAAAAGTTATGGTAATAAATTCATTTTTTTTTTATTAAAACTTTCACTTTAAAGAACAAAAAGAAGTAGGTTCAAAATGATTACTTTTAACATATTAAAAATCAATAATAATTTGAAAATAATTAATTATAAAAATTATATAATATATAATTAAAATAATTACTAATCTGGATATAATTAAGGAAATAGGAGTTGATGTTGGGTTGGGTTGGTTACATTTTTAACTTTATAATGCTATAACTCATTGAAAAGTGTACGAATCAACACAATTTTTTTATGAGAAATAATATTTTTTAATAATCCCTTTTTCATTCGACATACTTTATCTTAATCAGGGTATTAATAAGAAACTAGCAGATAATGTAGCTTTTGTAATTATCCACCAATTTCTTAGAATTAAACACTATCTACTGATTTGCATCGAAGCGTTTCTTATGATAGTGATTTTAATCACTGTCAGATTAAATCTATACTGGACCCAACTATGCAACATCCCCACTATGCCGCGACCCCACTGTGCTAGGTTTTTTTTTTCGAATAATAATTTTTCAATAATATTTTTTAATTTTTAATTAGAATAATATATTATTAGGATAATTTAAATATATTATTAAACAGCTATTATGAAGCAGGTATTGGAACAAAACCGGTTCTTCCCCAGTAATTTTTAAAATTAATTTTGCTATATTTCTATTATGCAGATAGAATAAAAATCATTTCTTGAAATAATCTATTTTAATTATTATCTCCGAAAAAAAGTAAATTTGTTATGCAATAATATTAGATCTTTTAATTCGACTTATAATGTCGAAAGCAAAAAAAAACCTTATTTTAATTTTGATGTAGGAGTTTACCAAAAATGGTTAATCTTAGTAAACATGGCCTGTTAATCACGTTCATTGAAGAGACATGACTACTTCGTGTTTTTTTATATTATTGACCCATTTTTAACAATGACGATCAATCGGAAGTGAAGGTCATAGGCATATTAAGGTTTGTTTCGCACGTATGTCTGTCTGTACATTTCAAATACAATCTAAAGTGTATGAATTTAATTGTATTGATCAAATATAATTTTTGTAATTTCTGAAGTTACTTTCTATTTTTAAAATTTTCAATCAACATATTATTTTAATTTAATATGCCATAATATTTATATTTATAATTTCTTGTACATGTGTATTTGATGTTTTTTTTGACATTAGTAAAATTTTTTTTTTTTAAATATAATTAAATAAATTGAGTTTAACGTAATTTATTCATAAATTATCTCACAAAAATTACTCTTTATAAATTAAACGGATAAAAGTGTTTCATAAAAACACGTTTATGCAATTGCTTAATATTTCATAGATCAAAAATGCATAATTAAACAAAACCCATTTGCAATTTAGGAATGTACCTATCACTTTTAAATAAATAGTCAACATAATTAATACGTTATTAAATTTTTAGAAAGTATTTACTTATAATATACATACAAATAGTTCTTGTTTTGCTTTTGATAATTAGTTTTGTTTTGGTAAAACAATATTTTAAACGATCAATAAAGAATATTTTTTTTATACTTCATTTTATAAGTAATCGATAAATTATTAGGAATATTTATAAGATAAACAATATCAATATTTTGTAGGTAACCCACAAGGAAAATTAAATAGAGTTTATTGGAAAAAAACTTAAAAAGACATATAAAGGTTTTAATTAGGAATTTTTATATTTTAAAAATATTTTACTTTGTATCACGTTGTTTGGCTGACAATTGAGATTTCACTATTTTATACTATCAAAACTAATGATTTTTCCATAGTTCTTTAAAAATTATGAAATAATTTATTCTAATCTATTCCTACTAGTTTTTAAGTATAAAATTAAGTGTTACATCAATATAGGTTCAAACTTCATTGAATTCAACTATTATTGCGGTTTTGTATTGGCTTAAGGATAATGTGTTTATTGACAATTTTAGCTGCTAAACGATTAAAAATAAATAAAAAATAAGTTGTATTAAAAAAGATGATTATTGAGTAATATTAGGTTATTTTAATTAGATCCATATATTCGAACACTTTTAATTTAATAAAATATTTTGCAATAATCTGATCTTACACGTAATATTTAAGCCTAGTTTTAGAACTATATAGTATTAGTAACATAGTTTTGGTTTATTTTAGGGGAAATCTATCCTCATAATCACCCTTATATACGCAACTATACAGTAGCATAATTTCATTAGAGTATTTTTTAATAAATTTTGATAAATTGTTAAGTTTATTTTGAAACTATGTTAAGTACTCTGCTGCTATACTGTTACTTTTATATTTAACATATTTGTCATGCTAAAGAGTGTTTATGATTTTGCAACGATGATTACAAACATTGTATAATATAATAAGATTATAATATGAATTTACTAATTATGCTGAAGTAACGACTATGTTGGGTGAACTTAACTAATAGTTTGGTGTCTTTTGGACAAGCAAAATACAAAATGACAATTGCACTATTTTGTTAAAGTGATTTGATATTTTAAGTTTAAATTAAAAATAGAATATTGGCATTTCAAAACATAGACAATAATTAATTAAATTATTTTTGTTTTCCATATTACAATATCTAATTTTTAATCGTTTAAATTATTTATTACTTGTAAAATTTATGAAATTGAGTTTTATGATATTAGGTATTACGTTAAGATAATATTACACTCTCAAAAAAAATGTTCGGATTTCCATATACATGCATTAGAAGTTTTTAACGCATACAAGGGAACATTTTGATAAATTAAGACAAATATATTATATTTGTGTACGAAATTTTGATACTTTATGTCAAAATTACGCAACTTGTTTATAAAATTAATATGCGTGTTAAAAATATCATACTAACTAAGATTTTTTGGATCATTTTTTACAGTGTACATAACAAGTAATAATATTATTATTTATATATTTTATAAAATATAATTGTTATTACATTTATTAAAATAAAATACAAGAATTGACAATAGGATTTTTTTGAAATTTAGTAGTTATGGAATAATTAATTAAGATATACTCCTCATTATTCCTTTATGGTAATTGTTTATCACATTAACACTGTTGTAAATCTATTTTAGTATTATCGCCGTAATAATTTCAGTTTTGAGAATATTATTCCAATTGGTTTTATTCATTAATCGCGATTTTGTGTTAATTATTTTAATCAATACTATTATATTTTGCAATATTTTACAATATTGATGATATTTTACCCGTCAGCTAACTGCCGACAGTTTGAGAAATACATTTTTGAAATTAAAATATTTTTATTAATACTTTTTGAAAATTTATAAAATAAAAATTCCGTCATGCATCAAGGTATTGCAGTAAAAAATGTATAACAGTTTTCATTTAAATTAAAATAAGTGCAGAATCTGTACTGGAGATATAAAAAATGTAAATATAATCGAATTAAGTTATGTCGGTTTACACTTTAGTAAATTTTCATCATAGCTTTGCCTAAAAATAAAAGATGAAAAAAAAATTCATTACTTACTTATTTTTCTCTAATTTAGTTAGTAAAATTTGAAATAGGCCTTCTATCAATCAAATATCTATATGTTAATCGATTTAAATATATTAATAATTATTCGTAAGACTTAACATGTTTTTATTAGGTTATTTCAGTTTAAAAATATAATTAGAAAGGAGATTATTGTAAATTTTATTGCTAAACAAGTTATTTGGTGACGGAAAATTACATTACACTTTTTAATGTTCATTGTTCTAATGAGTTACAATTTATGATTTTCCAGGGCAAGAGGCTGAAACTAATTTACACTCTTTGACAGTGCAAAACTTGATTTACGCAATTCCACCTATGGCACTGGTAAACAGTACAAATGTATTATGTAAAAAACATAGTCAGATTTATTTAGAAGAACTAGAAAAGCTAACAATGTGGGCTTTAAAAAGTAAGTGTTTGAAAATTAAACAATATTTATCTATGGACGTACCTATAACTTATTAATTGGTTACGATTTACTAGTCTTATATATCCTTATATATCAAAAAAAAAGCTTATCATATTATTACTTTTAAAAATAAATTGTATTAATTGAATCATAATACTTTATATAAAGATCCCAATGTAATATTTGTAATACGAATAAAATTTGTGTTATAATTTACATTGGTAGCTTCTGTAAGTTAATTAACTTTGTTTTAAGTACATGGCAATTTTTTACGCAAATTATCTACAATTATTGCTATCATTTCATCGTTATTAAATTTAATTACTAAAAATTCGCGTTTATTTTAATAGTTAATTTAAAATTAAGTGACTTCTAAAAATAAAGTGAACTATAATTTATGATATGTCACTATTCAAATTTAAAATTTAAACTCACATTTTGAAATAAAAAATAATAATTTTAGCTCATTCAGTTCTCTTGAATATTTATTTAGTTAACATTATTTACTACATACGTCATATTCGATGCATATTACAAAATTCAGTTATAGTTTATATATTAGAATTTCACTTATAACAAATCTTCTGATGGACTTCACTTTTTTATCTCCTCAATAGTAATGTCCTCTGTGTGTAATGATTTTCTTTTTTTTATATAACTTTGTGTAGCTGTAAAACTCAATTAAGTTGAATTTGCTTGTTTTTTTCGACTACTGTCAATAAACAGTTAGGTCTATATAAATATTTTACAGACTCATCTGATGAGAGACATTAAATTTGCCTAGTCAGAAAAAAACATCAGGTGATTAGTCAAGTTGACCTCAATAGAAATTGTAATATTACATTTTTAGAATATAATATTAAGACGCTTTTCTAATGAAAAAAGTAATTTCTTTTAAGAATCTATTATTCTAGTAACTTGATAATTTTATTGCGTAATCAGGTTCTGTTTAGCGTTTTGCTAATAATAATTACTATTACTCAGTTTCAAAAATACGTAAAATATATATTACAAAAATTATTACGTTATTTTTATCTATATTTCTTTCGAGTAGACTCAAATCATTTTCTGAGATTTCATAAACAATTTATAACGATTGTTATGACGCATGTATGACGAACTTGATCTTTGTCGTGATTTCAATTTTTATTCTGTTATAAAAGCTATTATTGTTGTTAAACTTATATTATATTATAAAAACACATTATTTGATGTACAAAACGTTTTCATTTACATAATTTAATTGTTTTCACAATTTTAGTTAATAGAATTTCCTGTACTGCAAAAAGTTATGTTTATTTAAACGTTTAGACCCAAGGACTCAAATATTAAAAAAGAAGTACATACATTTTATAAATAGCCAGACAACAATAAATTTATAGCACTATAATTATTGTCTTATCTTTTTTTACTTCAGAATTAATATGAATTACGCCAAATGCCTATGCTATAATAATAAAAATATGAAAACTAGTGAATTAATCAAATACCATAAAAATCATTTGTGACCTTGTTGTAATCTTTATAAGAGAAATAATATAATAACAGAATAAGAAAAATGTTCATTACTATATGTCTAATTATATTTAATATTGAAATCAACAAGATGTATACGAGTATTTTCAACAAATTAATGTTCTTTTGAGTTTTAACATCATTAAATTATTTTTCAAAAGATACTTTTTATGAAGATCTTAGTTCTTTCGATTTTTTATTTTTGAAATAATGACTCAAATGTTTACCAATACTATGGTTATTTGTTGGTTTATCATTTATATTGTAAGATAAATTAAAAACAAATGTTAAGTGATAGCTATTTTCCAAAATGTGTCTTAAGTTTTTAAAATATTAAATAATCGTTACTTTTAACACTTCATGATTTTTTTTATTTTAAAATTCTAGTAGCGCATTTTTTATGTAGAGAAAAATACAAAAATGCTTTTTAGTTAATTAAAAAGAGAAGTCATTAAAAGTAAGACAAATATAATAATGTACTTGACCTTTTCTATCAAAAAACATATTATAATGAAATTTTACAAACCCTATGATATTTAAGGTTCCTAAGAACATTTATCACTCTTTTATGTCTTCCAAAAGTAACGAAGGCCATTGTATTTTCGTACGCGGAAGTGATGACTTTTAATTGAATTTCCAGCACGAATCCTAAATTTATGATTGATGCACAAAAAAAAAAAATTATTAAAGAATAGAAAAAAATAGATTTCTTATGTAAAAACCGAAAACAAAATATAATTTAATGTTATACCAATCATTTTATCTCTTTACTTATATAATATGAATTCTGGGATTACAAACATATTATCGTTATGTATAATCTTTAAAATATCCTGAGAACTTGATAAATATACTTTACCTAGTATATTATAAGTGTATAGACGATGATAATTATCGGCAATATCGTTTATTTAACTTAACTATGCCGTTAAGAAATATTCAAGGTTACTTGTTTTGAAAGAGGTACTTGAATGTATTTTGTTTTTTGTTTTTTAGTGTACGATTCATCAGCGAAAGTGCCATCAGGTATATTGAACGGTAACATCAATCAATTTGGCGACTTCGATCAATGTTTGAACGCCAACGATCAAAGTTCAGGAATACAAGGACAGTATTGTTTAGCCTATGTGGAAATGGATGCGGCAGGTGATAACGAGAAAATAAAAAATATAATAAAGCTAATGCATTCGCATTCAGCATTTCGCAGCCGTTTAGAAGATGTAAGTCAAATAATTTAGGTAAAGTGAAGTGGGGTAAATATAAACGAATGGTGTAGTTGTAAATTTATTTTTCTCTTAAAATATTTAACAGATTTGATTTTAAATTGAAAAGTTTTAGTCCTCACTTGACTTTAAGGATTAGAATAAGATATGAAATTATATCAAGAAGTGCATTAAAACCTAAGAAATAATAAGAGATGGACTAAATTGTTTTTGTGTCCAAGACACGGGCAAAGAATATTGTACAAATAATATTAGAACACAATATATAGTACTTTGTATCTCGAGCTTTTTTATCTCACTCCACCTCTGGATATAGTTTTTTGTATTACCTTTGGTAATTGTTAGTCCTCTTGAATATATGAAACAATAAGATTTATAACAGTTTAAATAAAAAATATATTTTATCAATTATAGTTCTTAGAACTTGTAAAATAATTCACAGTATGTACTATTTACTATATGAATTTTTCATTCCAATATAGATTTATATTATAAATTCATTAATAATTATTCTAGTCAAAATTTTCTCTCTCAAGGTTATTTAGAACCGTATTAAATAATTTGCAAAATTATTTTTTTTTCAAAGTTCCTATGAAATTTTTATCGATATAGAATCTAGAGGTTTCTTTGTTTGGGTCACTGAACGGTGTACTTTTGAAATAAACTCTTACAAAATCTGCCCTGAATAAAATTTGACATTGGCGGTCACGAGCAATATGCGCGACGTTCATTGTTCTTATTTGGACCACAGATTCGTTTACCGTATCAGCGATGTACAATTGTACCTCGATTTATTTTTTATGTCAATGTCAAAATCATGCAAGAACTGCATGCACAATTATATACCGAGGTGTAATATAGTGAAGGCGTATACAATAATATAGAAATCGACGACATATTTATTATGATAAAATCTTTTATATATTTTGAAACGTTTTATTGTATTTCTAATTTTTAAGTGTTTTTTTGTATAGCCTGGTCATCGAGTTCCTAGATTTTCTACAATTAACTGGGCTATTTGCACTCCTGCCAGTTGCTCACCATCGGACATCGAACAGGAAATACATACATTATTGTCTAAATACGTCAATACCAATGAAATCAGATTCCGTCTTAAAGTAGATCCCAACATGTGCCAAACTCTGAGGAAATCATATGTTCCAACGACTGGCTCTTTGATTGCGGTGTAAGTATTTATAACATAAAAATTGAAACTAAATTATAACCAAAGGGTTTTGTACAAAAACAATGTAACTCCATTTTATGACAATTACAAACAAAGGGGTTTTTAATTCATACAAATTATAATATATAAATATTCAGGAATGAGAATGTGTTTAGATGGTCATGTAGGAAATATGAAATTTTAAATATAAATTAATGGTATGATTTTTATTTAAAAATGTCTATTTTTATAGATTCGAGAAAATAATTTAAATGGAGCTGTATTGAATTAAACTGAGCTCTTTAGTTATAACTATATAATCAAATGAAATAATATATTTTACCATTGCAGTTTGACTTTTGGCGCTCTATTTGCAACAATTGCATTATCCACAGTGCTTGATTTGCTCTCTACAAGATTACAAGAATCAAAAAGTAATTTTTTTTTTAAACAAAATTCTGAGAATGACAATATTTTGTCAAATTAAAAATTCTATTAATATCGTATTTCCCTTTATTAACAAAAAAAGTGTGTTATTATTTGATTACATTTTTAATGTCATCTGTACCTAAATTTATTTTTATTCTTTAGTCATGATTTTAATATTAATGATTCAAAATTAATTAGTAGAACTATTTATTTAGAGAAATTTGAAGATGTAATTTATTAATGAGAATATTTTTTTTATCAGGTAGTCTTTCAAAATTCATATATTCTTTTTCACTAAAAAGAAATATACTTCAATTTATCAACTTAAATGAATCACCTGACTCAATAAAATCAATTCATAGCATTCGAGCCATAAATGCTTTCATGCTATTAGCGTCACACAAATCAATGGCGATGTTCTTCAACCCTTATTCTAATAGAACACAAATGGCAGAGGTATTTGTTTTAAAATTTAGTACTTTAATTTGTATAGGGTAATGCTTGTATTACATGAATATTAAGTATAGGAGATTAGGTCATTGCCTATAACTCAGCTGTCGTTACAACAAGTGAAGATAACTATTCCACTCAACATACTTTAGGTGTTATTATTATTCATCCTCGTCTCTTTATGTAGTTACGTTAAATATATAAGATAATATTGTCCATCGTGTTTTTGTTTTTAAGTGTCATAACTCGCTTTTATGTATAATATCTTCTTTTCAAAATCATTTGGAAACTATTCAAATCAAAGATGTTTAACGCATGAACTTACAATATAACTGTCTTTTACTAATAAGTATGAACTTTTTTAGTACAATTAACTAATTAATTTTACATTGAAATATGCTAAAAAAAAACACTTTACTTTAATTTTATCTAACAAACTATCGATTATTCTATCCTATGGAATAAAAGAAGACAGTTGAAATAATATTGATGTTGCTCTTAGTAATCGATTTAACTTGAAAATATCTTACTCAACTATAAATATTTATTCTATGGAATTAATTCTTCGCCCTAAGTAACCCTTAGGGTGGCGGTTTCAATTTCCAAGAATGAATTATGCATAAATATGATTATCTGACTAATTTTTAAATTATTTGTTGATAAAGAAATTGGGAAAACGTTGGACGGTATTAGCACGCGCCGCAAGTTTGTATACGGACCCTTTCATATTTATGAGTGGAATATTGACGTGCACTACATTTTTAAGACATTTAGAAAGGAAAGGAAAAATTAACATACCCAACGAATATTTGTCCAGATATGTAAGGTATTCTATTCGTATGTTAAATTGGTTATTTTTAAGGGTAATGTATTAACAAAACAATAAAAAATAAATACTGTCATGATTAATAATTAAAATTTGATCTAATTGAATCTGATTGACGTCAGCACAAACATTTTTTTTATACATAATTGAAATTCACGTGTAATTCATGTAGTAATTATTATCTTCTCATATCCGCTTTATGATTAAATGGTAACTCGTATATTTATTAAATTGTTCTTAAAATATTAATACGTTTGATGGTTTTATACATCATTCATACATTTTTACTAAAATATTACATTTTATCTGATGTATAAAGTGGATTCTTTCACTCCTTATGATGTAATTATTTTACAGTTAAAACAATATGAATTATTCATTGTTATTATGCATTTATTAGTCTAAAGTTAGAGTGCATTCAAGGTAAAGTTCTATGTAATTTATACTCAACAGAAGGTTAGGTAAAATGATAAGTTATGTAAGAGGATTCAGACTTAATTGATATCTTGAGTTTTCCAAAATATAACAAAAAATGAATATTGTACAAAAAATTAACTATTTGTACTAAATTAAACAGTTTAAATATAATAAATATCGTAATTAATTAATATATTTCAAACAAAACAAAAATTATAAAATGTTAGGTGGCTATTTAGAAAAATTGTATGAATAAAACTTTTTTCCTCAAAATCGACAATTAACTATAGTAAAATTACAGTAATACATTTGACATTGATTTAATCAATTAATTGAAACGCTTCAATGTCAATAATAAATCATTACTATCATATCATTCTCAGTTTTATATTTATGGTAAAATTACTATTGTAAAAAGGCTAGACATTCTTAATTGTAGGGTTCCTCAATGATATTTCCCATATTATTTAAGTTACGTTTTTTTGTAATTATTTCGAAAGTCACGTACTTCCGTAATTATTAAGCACTACAAACAATTTTTTTGTTGTTGTTTTGTTCGTTGAACCTTCTAGATTTCCGTTGATCATCAGTTTCGAATTAGTAATTTTATAAGGTTTTATTGAAAATCCATAAGAGAGTTTTAAGCTTTAAAACGGGATGTTCAAATAAAAAGAGGCTATGGAAATAAACTGATATTATTTATAAATTGAGCCCGGAATTATATGCGTTTATATATTTTATTAAGTTACTCACTACACCATTAAAAATAAGTGCACACTCTCTATTATTTCAAAGATCCGGTTCTTTTTTATTCTTTTCAGCCTAATTTTTTTTTTGTTCATTCTGGACTAGAAAAATTTAATAGCTCAATTGTTCAAATAAATGACATAAAAAATCAATTTCGCAAACAGTTAACTTAATATTTACAGATTAGTTCCTACGATGGGAGCAATTATATTATTTTGTACGATGATCCTACCAAATTTAGGATCGGGACCGCAATGGAATCTCGTGGTTAAACAACATGCCGATATTTGCGAGAAGTATTGGTGGAGAAATTTCTTATTCATTCATAACTTATTTGGATTCAAGAATGTGGTAATTATTATTGGCATGAATGAACTATGTTGGAACCTCTTCAATTGTTAAAGTTTAACGTTATTTTTTAAATTCATGTTAGTGTTTGTCGCATACTCATCACATAGGTATCGATTCTCAACTTTTTGCTCTGTCTCCTCTGTTGGTTTGGACTTTATGGAAATGGCCAAAAAAAAGCCTAGTAGCGATGATAGGGCTCGCCGCTTTTTCTACCGGTCTGCGATACTACGCGACGATGACAAAAAAACTGAACTTGTTCATAAACTACAGTAGTTCGTAAGTGAAATTAATTAGAATAAATACTTCCAGTTAAATTAAATTTTTTTTATTACAATTGTTTTCTTTTTTTAATCTAGAGTGTCAACAATGTACGATACTGCAGATTTCTCATATGTTTTGCCTACCCATAGACTTACAGTGTACATAATGGGTATACTCTTGGGATACTTATTGAAGTGTGTCGGGCCAAACTATAAAATGAAAAGCGTAAGTATATTAGAACTTATATACTTACGTTAAGCAGAAATAATTTAAATTTAGTATACTTGCTAACATCAGTTTAAGTCAGCGCAAAGACGTGGTGAAGTAGGCACAGATCTCGCGCTTTATGGATCACTGTGTAAAGCAGTGGCGTAGATTGGATTTTGTTGGAAGGGGTTCATATAAAGAATTTTTTTGTTACCCCCACAAAACGAAAAACAATTTTATCTTTATCATCAATAGTGCAACTAGAGCAAAAATCAAGGGGGTGCTGATAATACTAATAAGTCGTGAGGTATTTGCCCCTTACACCTTCCAATCCACCACATTAATATAGTCGGCAGTATAATAATATAATGTATAAGAGCTGCATTAATGATGATCGTTTATGGATAATAATAATTTATTTGATGCCCTGTAGGCAAGAACGCTTGTTAAATAATTACACAAATAAAAATAATGACATAATAAACAAAATATTACAATCACATTACATTATTTGGGAAAATTACACTAAACAGTATACTTCAATTTAGGTATATTATCAAAAAAAAAAAAATCAAAATTAGGTAGATTATTCGAAGTTGTTGCAAAGCGATTAAAATGTTCATTGAAACTATAGTTTTGACAACGACTATTGTCATTAAATAAATAATTATTACGTAAATTAAAGTAGTAACATAAAACCATACTTTACTAAGAAGTTCTGTACATTTTATTATTATTTAAATTAAAACCAAAATAAGTCTCATTTAAATTGCGTCTTACAATTATTGTTTCCAAATCTAATAATCGTGATAATTCATACACTCAGCATTAAGAATATTTAATTTATAACAAATATTATGTAAATAAATATTTTGAAGACACTAAATTCGATATCAAATTAGACTGAAAGGATTTTACAAGATTGAACCATTATCAACTTTCGATCAAATTAATGATAAGTATAATATTCTTAAACTGAATATTACTAAACAGAAAATAATTACGCGTTATAAAACCCAATATATTCAATGCTTTTAGTTAATATGTTGAATATGAAAATTAAATGATAAATTAGACGATAAATATACGTAGATAGCTGTATTATAACCGAGCAAACGATTGTCGTCAATTGATGGCTTTATATTGAAATGACCCAGTGTACTCAAAATAATGATATTGTTTGCTACCATAGTAGTAATAATCTAAACGTAATATAGATAGGAAACTATAATTTATATAAAAAAAAAACTGAAATAAATTTTAGCTTTGATGCAAAGCTCAGTAGGTATTAATTTTACCATGATTTGTTTTATTTTTTTTGAGTCTGTCTCTACTTTTTTTCAGTTCTCACTAGATAAATTTTTCTCAACAATACGTCAAAAGATCACAAATCGTATCTAATTGAAGAAATTGCCCTATAAAATTGAAAATTTTGGCCTCGTTCCCCGTAAATAGTGAAAATTCCATAAAAAATTTCGATTTTTAGAATCAGTAAATTTTGACATTTTTTTTTCTAAAAATTGCCATAACTTATTGTAAAATGAACAAATCAAAATAATTGTTTTAAATATTGAAACCTTAGATATTTCCCTTTCATTTTATATAAATTTTTTGAAAATCTTACCCTATATCTGCCCACAGGGGGATTCAAAACTTCTTCAACTTAAGTTTTGAAAATGTTCTGGAAATACTCCGAGTTTCAAACATATGTTAAAATAAAGCTAATGTTAAATACTATAAGTTTAAAAAAAAAAATTGTCCCGATGACTTACCTTCTATGTGAAAATGGTTGCCGTAGTTAAAAAACTGCTATTTTTGTGTTAAAATTCTTGGTATTGTATTTTAATTTATTTTAAAATACCTTATAAGAGAGTACACTAATTTTCATGATTATTATATAAATCTAATTGACATAGAATATAATATTAAGCTTATTTCAATTTTTTTCTTTAAAGTCGAAAAAATTAATTTTAACATTTGAATCAGCTTAAATTGCTAAATTTATCAAAAAACGAATGCGACGAACGTTTGCCGATTCAGTAAAAATCATTGCCCGTGGCAACGATTTTTTTTTCAATTTTTCCTTAATTCATTTTGAGTTAGAATTTTGTTTTTGAATAATCCACTAATTTCTTAAAATTAAACACTATCTACAGATTTGCATCGAAGCGTTTCTTATGATAGTGATTTTAATCACTGTCAGATATCTTCTATACTAGTCCCAACTATGCCACGTTCACTTTGTGTCGCGACCCCACTGTACTACTTTTTTATAAATGAAAATACATAGTTGAAACTATAGATATTAAAATTAAAATACTAAAACCTGGGGGTGCTAAAATTAAGTCTGAGAGTAATTTGCTTGTTAAATATTTATTGAGTTATAGAAGATAGAAAATATTTGAATAATTGGTTATTTTCTCACTTTAAAATTTTGTTATACATAAATAAACATAATTTTCTAAAAATTTGGGAGGTGTGTACGACAAGTTTTAGTGGTACAAAGTTTCCAAATTACGCCTACGAAAAATTTCTTATTAAAGTTTCAAATTATTTTATTTTATTTTTAATATATAATACTTTGTTTAGATAAACATAAAATTAGGATGGATCATAGCCATTGGATTTTTTTACCAAGCATATATTGCTCCATCTAAAATGGGTGACATGAACTATGTATACAATGTCATTGACGCTGCTAACTATGCTGCATTTGCTCCCATTTGCTGGTGTATTTTCTTCGGTTGGATCATATTCATATCGCACACTGGCAATGGAGGTAAGTTAAAAACACATTTATTAAACACCTATAAGGATCAAAATTCAATTTGGCTATTGATTTCCTACTATAAGGTTATTTGATTAGTTATTGACAGATTAGTCATTCTGTTGCCACTCCCGTAGTTAAGGAAGACACACAACAATGTATTTTTTTATCATTCTTCAACCTTCGCAAAACATGATTATTAATTTACAATAAACTTGTTTTATGTAGGTTTAGTGTCCGAGGTGTTTTCGTGGAAAGGATTCATCATTTTAACACGGTTTTCATATACATTCTACTTGACGCAATTTCCGGTATTTTTCTACAATGTTGGTAGTAATAGGGCGCCTCTTGAATACAGTTTTGGTCTAATGGTAAGTAAAATAATTTCCCATGACACAAAATGTTGATATTTGAACTTTTGAGCCTTGTAGTAAGTGGTTTACATTGTAATTTTTCTATGAACATTTATAAAAAGTGTCGACAAAAATCAAATTCCATGTTATTCTATTAGTTAATGTATTTATTTTCCTTCCTTTTAGTTAATAATAATTATAGGTGCTATAGGTGTATGGAAATGAATGTTGAAAGACTAAAAGGTAGAGGAAGACCAAAAAAGAGATGGAGGAATGTTATTGAATGTGATATAAAGACGGCTGGCTGATGTGTGTGTAGATGATTTGAGAGATAATATTAAGTGGAAGTTTGGGATAAGGTTGACCAACCTTAGGTAGTTGGGATAAAGACGATGAAAAAGAAGAAAGAAGAAGGTGCTATGTGTGTTTTACACTTAATGTGTATAAGTTTATAATTATACACAGAACCAAGTTCAAAAGTAGTTTGCTTGAACAGCAGTTATTAATTACACATGTCTCTATTTTAAAATTCGTTTTCTTTTCAGTGTGACATTCACGAATTTTTGGTGACAATTTTCGTGTCCATTGCATTGACAGTGGCCGTTGAAATGCCATTCAATAACATTAAGACTGCTTTCATAAGGAAATCGTGAAATTATTATATGCCTACCACAAACACAATATTTCTATTGGTTGTATATTGTTTAAATATCCTCAAAAAGAATTCTATATTCTTTGAAAAACGTGATAGTCCGTAAAAGTATTATTTTGTAGATAAATAGAATCTTTTCGAAGCGTATTGATATTTTATATTAATTAGTTAATTTATACGGTTTTAATACTGTTATTTCTATATTGTTAGTATTTATTGCATTTTATAAAAATCATTTCATCTTTTAGATTATAGCAAATTTTTGTAAGATTTCCTTAGAATAGTTTATTTTTTTTTTTAGTACGACTTGTGATATAAGTGTATTTACTTTTCTAATAATTAAATGTTGTATGTGGGTACAAACAAATAAACTATAAGAACAATAATGAGAGAATGATTTATTCTAATATTTGTACAAAAAGTGTTGCTTATTATTCTAGCTATTTTTTATCATATTATAATTTTTATTTTGCTATTTATTTATATTTAAAGTATTACTGTTCAAAAGGCACAATGTCATCGCTATTGTTTTGAAGTTTATATTAAATTTATGCCCTAAAACAGTATTCGTGGTCAGCATGTGTATAATTTTAAATAAAATTTCTAATTTGCCAAGTCTACTCATTAAGAAATTATTTTTCTCTAACTAATATTGATAGGTCATTCGATATATTAGCAATTTATTTTAATTATAATTTTCATTTAGCTTAATTATAATTATCCATTAATAACTATATAATAGTTTATTTTTGGCGTATTCGATAGTAAATACATTATTCTAACATATTTAACACCTGTGTGACTACTATTATCTATGTTATTGTAATTATAAAATATATATGGTTTTTCGACATCAGTTAATTTATAAAGGACTAAAGCAAAAAACCATATAGTAAAACCAGTTTAAGCGTTGTAAATTAATATATTTTAGTCGTAAACAGTTTTAAATCATCCTAAAATTGAGTACTAAATATAACGTGACTTACAAATCGTTTTATTAGTGAATTTTGTTTATTATAACTATTTTATCTAATATTCGACTAAATTTAGCTCATTATTTTTCATATAATTTATGAGCACATTTCTACTATTTTGTTTGTACCTATCATACATTAATATTATTTCCTACAGGACATAAAATATTATTTTTTATGATAATGAAATTTTGTATGACACGATATTGTAAATATTTTTTTTCTTATTACATTACAAGATATATAAGTATAAAAAAATAAATTAGCAGGTATATGTAGCCAAAGTATTTATACTTCTATTAATGTGTCATTATTATGTTTGTGTTGTTTTAATAAACTAATACGGTATATCGTGTCTAAATACATTTATGTTTAAATATTTTTTTCTAGATATAGTCCACGCAATATCCTTATAGGTAACAATATCAACGTCACTATAAAATTTGTAAATTGTCAGGCGTTCTGTATAGATAACTTGAACATCAGTAGTATACGTTAACAAAATAACACTAAAAATTCCAAAGGCAAGATTTTGTGATTGATACCTAATTATGACATTTAGATCAAATAGTTAAATTTCATATAAAATCATATTTGACGAATAAATAACCAGATAAAACGTTTATTCAAGTTACATTTTTTTTAGGTTAAAAAACAAATATTGTTATAAGTTACATCACAGAACAGATGGAATTTCATAAAATTTGAATACACAAATCATTTTTTAAAATTTTTATTAGATAAATATACAACTCAAATATATCTTTTTCAATAAAGCTAAATATGATATCTTGTATACAGCTTAAACTTCAAGTCAGTATTATTAGTATTATTATTATTAACTAATAATAATACAATTAAAAAATAATAATGTACATTGTAATTTCTTATACAACGTATTAAATAAATGATTATCCTAAAGTAATTTTACTTTTGATGTTAAATTATTAATAATTAAAAAAAAAATAAAGTATGTATGCTTTATTTAAGTGGAACCAATCAAATCAAAAGGTCTTGGTCATACCCCTTTTTAAGTTCTTCTTATTTTTCCTCTCCTTAATCACAACTACTTGGGGTCGGTCACCCTTATCCCAAACTTCCACTTGACACGATCTCCCACATCACCTACGCTCACATCAGCCGTCCTCATATCGCATTCAAAAACATCTCTCCATCTCTTGTTTGGTCTTCCTCTACCTCATCTTCCTTCAACATTCATGTCTATAACTGTTCTTATAGCTTTCGATTCCTCTCTCCTGATAAAATGACCAAACCATCTAAATCTATTTTCACTCGACGTATTCAATATTGAGGCTACACTTATACTCTCTCGTAGATGTTCGTTCCATCTCCTATCTTTTCTAGTGACTCCACTAATCCATCTAAGTATTCTCACTTGTTACACTCACTCTCTGCTCTACTTTCTTGTAAACCGTCAAACACTCTGAACCATACATCACTACAGTCTTATAGAACTTACCTTTCAGTCTGATTGTAATTCTCTTATCGCATAACACACTAAACGCTTCTCTCCAATTCACCCATTTGCACTTAATCTTGTATTATACATCATTGTCAATACCATCGTTCTTTTGCCCAACTTGATCCTAAATACTTAAAACTTTCCTATCATGTCCATGCCTATTATCACTAATCTCGTCATTTCACCTACTCGTATTCTCCTTGGTTACTGTATATACTCTTTTTTAATATTAAAATATAAACTTCCCAGTTTTATTAATTTCTTTAAAATTTACTAATTATAGTTCTAGTTCTAGAACACATTTTTAATTGTACAATTTGTAATTTTAATTCTTAAAGTTATAAGTAGCTTACGTTTTAATTTGTCACTATTTTAGCTTCGATGCGAAGCTGAGAAGGTATTGGTTTTACTAAGATGTGTTTTTTTTTTTTTTTTTTTTTTTTTTT